ACTGATGTGAATGAAGAGCATCCTATGTTGCATATATATAGAACCCCTTCATCCAACTTTGATTCTTGTATTTGAGAGGAAAGCGTTTTAAAAGAGCACTTGCCTGCACGTGCTGGGAGACAGCAGTAGCTGAGAATAAGAAAAGGCATTGAATTCCAAGGAGATTATAATTGGTATATGATTGAAATCCCATATGAAAATAATTTCCTGACCTCTTCTTATTTAAGACTTAGTTCTGACTTTTGTACAAAAGGGGTTCTGTTGGTGGCTTGGCATAAATGAGTTAATAAATCAGGTTTATGATTCTCAGTAAATAAATTGGCGTAGAGCCACCGACTTCTGTATTCATAAGAAATTAAAACATGGAAAGCGAGCTAAGAGCCCGTGTGAATTCTAGTGCTAAAGAAAACAGGCTTCTGGGCATGGAGGGAGATTTGGAGGTTATCTCCTCCCCTGCACACTGGCTGGGTGCTTGGCCATGGTTGTGTGCTGACCACGTTAAGCTGATGAAGGCAGGTTAATGGGCTAATTCTTGGCTGCAGGCACTGCCTGTTGTTACTTCTTGCTTTCAGTCCTTATTCTTAGGCTTTTCTTGGGTTTTTGTTATTCAACTTTTCCATGTCTTAATTTTTAAACAAATCTTGAAAACCTCATAAAGATATTAGCTTGAAATATGCTTCTTGGTTTATATTCTTGAATAATACAAGATGAACCAAGCCGATATTTATTCCCCCCTCCCCATTTTAATTTTTCCCACATTTTTTCTTTTCTAATTGTGATTAGTTTCTGGTTTTGATCAGGCAGGAAATGGAGCATGAAGAAGCCCTAAACAGAGGGCTATAGGTGCCTTGCAAACGGGAGCGAAATGTGGATTTCATTAGATTAGGGGCTCAGTGTTCACCTCTGTGTAGCACCAGCTTGGGTGAGTGGTGGGAACATTGCAGAAATCAGTGTGGCAGGCAATGAAGATCCCTGCACCACAGGGGAATACAGGGGATTTACTATTTTTACTATTACTGTTAATCCTGGTTTCAGGCTGTGGCAGCAGTACCCAAAGCCTGTTGTAGATGTGATGGGTTCCCCCCCCCCCCCGGCAACGTGCTTCTCTGAACACAACAGAGCACCTGAGCAGGGGCCACATGGAGGTGAAGCAGGACTGTGGGATTGTGTGACTTCTTTTGAGGTCAGGGAGGGATGGGGACCAAATGACAGCGATGTCTGGGATCTGTGGCAGCTGTAGCAACATCCTTGCTGGGTGCCCCTGGCACTGCACTGCTCCTTTGGCTTTTGCAAGTGTATTTCCAGCTTCCCTTGCATAGGCTAAAGAAGTTCCATGGTGAAAATGCACTTTTTGCTTGTAAAATTCCAGCTGTGTCTGCCTCTTGCTGGCACTGCTCTGTGACTGCACATGATGCCTCGGGCTCTGAATATGGGTAATGCCTTGTGACATGCCCAGGGTTTCATGTAGGGAAAGGGAATAGTAACACTGGGGAAAAGAGTGTTTTATACACCTTCTAAGTACTGCTGTGCCAGCAGCACGGGTGGGATGGTCCCATAATGGGAGGGTGCAGACGGTGTTAAGTCTATCTGGGAAGTCATCCCATTGGAGTTGAACTGAAACATATTGAATTGTTCTGATTTTTGGTTCCTGCTTTGTGCTGTGTTATCAAGTTATACTTTTTCTTTGTAATGAAGTGACTTTTGTTTTCTTTGTTTCTTCTTTTGTTTTCCAGGACCTGCAGTAAGTATCGTGGATTTTACTGTTGGATCAACAAAGTTAAGGCTTCCCCTTCCACCCCTTCCCAGCCTTTCGGTGTCATTGCAAAAGCACAGCATAATTCGGTAGAGGTGTGTCAGGAAGCAAAATTGGTACCAGATGCTGCTGGGCTTTTTGTTGCTGTCTTTTCATGTTTGTAGACAAATAAAGGGGTAAAAAAGGTTTAAAATGTTTCACTTGCTGCCCCGAGGGACTTCCAGTAATCTTAAACCCAGAAAATACTCAAAGATTTCTCCCTTTGAAGAGTTCTTTAGCTTGCTTCCAGTTAGCAGAAAGTGCTGTACTAATATTTTAACATGTTAGTGGGTTTATTGGTTCTAAAGCTCTCTCTTGCTTTTCTTATCTGTTGCGTTTCCGTCATTCAATTTGGATTCAGTAGGCTCACAAAGGGGGCTAGAGGGAAAGCCATAGCTTGCTTACTTCTCTTTGAAGGCTTGGGGAGAATAACGAGCATTCCAACCAATGCAGTGACAAAGTTTACGGGGAATTTGTTGTTTGAAAGGGTCATAATTGAAAATGTGTCAACCCCTCCTTCCAAATGTTCAGCCGTGCCTTTGGCTGTGCCACCACCACGGCCCAGTCTGATGTTCTCCTGCTGGTTTTGGAGTGAGAATGCAGAGATTCATTTGTGCCCTCTGAGTTGCTGAGAGATTGTTAAAGATGAAGTTATGGGCATTATGTGCTTCTGGTTTTCTACTTTCCTTCCCACAGGGGAAGAGGAGAGGTGCAGGCTGTTTGTAGCCACATTTGTCCTTCTCCATCGTTGCACTAAGATGTTTCTTCATGTCGTTCTCTTCCTGGGTTGAAAAGGGATGGTTTCAGGAAGCATATATTTCATAACTATGCCTGGGCTAATTCATTTCCGGTTCTGAAATCACCTTAAAATCCAAAGGGGGACAAGGAAAGGCACGTGAAGCACAGGGGCTCTCAGTGCCATGGCTTTGGTTCTTTTGGGTTGGCAGCTCTGCCTGTGGGTTTAGTCAATGGCTTTCAGCTCTCTGAATTTTTGCTTCTATTGCAAGTTCATTTTTTAATGTGAAGACCTAAGAGGAGTTTAAGCAGAATAATTATTTTGCCAGGTTTTGAAGGAGCAAATGGGAAAATCTGAGATTTAACAGCTTTGGCTCAACCATCCTTTGAGGAGATTTGAATGAATTTGCTCTAAAAGTTGTGCCCAGCATTAGCAACAAATCCAAGACCCTGGCTCAAGAAATGCAGACAAATGGATTTTTCTTGTTTGTCACCGTTCAGAAATGGTGCCTGTCAATAAATTCATTGTCCTGTAAATATTCTGTAATTAAAAACTGCAGCACAGCCTCTCCAGCCCAGAGACAAAGTGACTCCGTGGGGTTTTGAACAGTGATTGACTTGGGAATTACCGCGGGAGCACCATTGCGAGGTGACTTCCCATTGCCCATGGCAGGTTATAAATGAAGACAACACTGCTTATTTAAAACCCCAAATATACATCATTTAAGGGATGTTTTCCTCTTGATTAAAGCCCTTTGGCTTACCTAAAAGGTAAGCCATTGTGGTTCTGCTCGTGCTCAGAGGCTGGTTCCAGCCCACCCGCAGCCGGCTGGGTTGTGCTTCCTCACGTGTGCTCCCTGCTCACTTTTATTGGCCGCGATTTGACATCGGCAGCATATGGCACACTATTCATTTTTTCTTTGTTGCTGGTTGGTTTCATTTCCTGGTTCCCACGGCACTGTTGGGTTGCAGCAGGAGCACAGGGGAGCTTTAACACAAACAAGACCCTTTTGATTTGCCTCCTCTCCCTTTGCCCATCTTTAAAAACCAACTCCTGATTAGCCTAATTTAAGTCCCGCATTTGTAGCACAAACAGCGTTTGCCAGAGACTTCTTTTAACATAATATACAATAATACAAGTCCTAGAGCCCACAGAACCACAATATTATTTTATTTCAACAGGACTGTATTTAACTCTATTAGTTTCTTCTGTGCCTTGAGTTTGGCCATAAGGAATCGATTACATCTTACATGTATAGCATTGCACTCTGCTAGAACTCTATCCTCAATCCCCTTGTTCCCTAGTAGCAGTTGTTCTGGTATTTTGTTTTTTGGCTGTCATAAGCTGGTTGTGTGTATGAAATTATTGGAATTAGTGGGACAGGATTTGTGGCTGTTGGGTGATTGATGGTCCTGTCTGTGAGGAAGGGGTATTCCGCTCAGATGTGCTATAAACCCTCTGTTTTGGAGGGTATTAAAATCACATGCTGGGTAGGAAATTTCTACAATTGGAGGACAGACTTACCACAGACTGTAATTAAACATTTACAGTCCCAGATATTAACAAACACTTTATGTATTAGCATGCTGGCTGGGGAACTCGCCAGCGAGCGAGGGCTGGGAGTTACAAGTGTTTCCCATTTATCTGTGTGTGCTCCAGTGCCATACGTCTCCATAAAAATCTCACTGTACACTTTATCCCAAGACTGTAATTTGTTAAATAGGTGGTTGTTGAAGGCAATGTTGTTTCTGGCTGAATCAGTAGTGCTGCAGGAGGCATTAAAAGCTGCAGGGGCACTTAGCAAGAGGGAGAACCCCTGTGCGTGGTAGGAAAGGGGCTGCCAGAGCTATTTCATGCCATAAGAGATGCATGAATTTGACTGTATATCCACAGCATGCTGACATAACCTATGTTTATGGTAGCAGATGACATTGCTGTACCAGATACACGCTTTACTGCCTACTTGTGTACCAGCTAATACTTAACAGCTCCTTCCCGGGAATCTGGCTTGCAGCAGGCTCCTCTGCTGTAGCTCACGGAATGTTTAATGGCAGCTCGAGCTGTAAACACCTTTGGGAACCCCCCGAGGACAGCAGAAAAGGTGAAATATCCTGAATGGGTTGTGTTTTGTTCCATTGATCTTGCACGTGTCAGTAGCAACTCAAGTCAGGTCTTTCCCCGTAGCATCAGCTTTTCATTGCAACCTAAAGCAAAGCTTAGAGGTGAGCTGGGAGAACTGCATCCATGAGGAAATCAATGGATGTGAGTGGGGGAAGCCTTCACTGAGTCAAGTGCTGGGATAGGAGCTTGAAGCTCAGTGATTGCTCCTGGGCAGAAGGGCTGCCCTGGCTGCTGGCTCAGCAGCCCCATCACCTCCCCAACCTCTTCCCAGCTCCTGGATGTTCCATACCTTTTGGTACCGCATCCCAGGGCAGGTTTGTGGCCGGGTTCTAGTGCATACCGTGCACATCCATGGCTTCAGGGACTGAGCACAGGCAGCAGGGATGGGGTGAGCTGGCAGAAGCCTCGGTAAGTAACTGATGGAAATCTGAGGGGAATGTGCCACAGGCATGCCCATCCTGATAGGGAATTTGCCTCAAGAGGTCTCCCTGGAGAGATGGCCAATGGCCCCATCTCCTGCCTGCTATGTGTTGTCATGCTGCTACGGGTGCATTGACTGACTTGTTATCTCCCTTGTTCCCCCACCACAGGGACAGTCAGGACGTGATGGTTACCCGGTAACTCTGCTATTCCTTTTATGTTAATTCTCTCCTACTCTGCACTCTGCAGTCCTCTCCATCTTTTCCATGACACTTGATTTTCTTTGCCTTTCTTGATTCTTTTTCCCCCTCCCTCTTCGTTAGTGATAGCCTTTGAGGGACTTAGCCTTAAACACAGGAATCTGTGCAATATTCTCCATTAATGTTTATGGGATGAACTACGTGAGCCCTTTCATGGTGTTATTCACACTCTTGCCTAGGAGTTCACTTGACTGCAAAGTTAGTGAAGGCTTTGGGGTTTGTCGCACTCATAGCTGTAGGTGGTCAGATTTGGGGATGCTGGTGAAAGGGCTTCAGCTGCTCATTTGCCCGTCTCTAAAGATGATTCCTTGGGAGCAGAGGTGTCCTGCCAAGATCTGTTGGCAAGGAGAGGTCTTGGAGAGGCAAAGAGGAAGGGTAATTCAGGAGTCACTGCCCTTCCCATGGGCATCACTGGGATGTTACTGTGTTAGAGGGAGGTGAATAAAGCTGGTAACTTGGGGCTGTTAAAGGCTCTGAGGAGGAGGGAGACCTTGTTCTGGCCAGATCCCAACTGAGCAACTATGGGCAACTCTCATAGTCCCCATGAATGCCCTTGGATGGCCGTGATGCTCCAGCTCTGAGGGGCTCAATGGCTTGTCAGGGAGCAACTCCTGTGCATGAATGTGGTGTAATGAGTTGGTAAAAAATCACTATGCAGATTCTCCATGTTTACAGCACATTTTGAGCTCTCCCCCTGCTTTTTGGATGGGTGCAGTGAGTCCTGTGCTGCCTGATGCTCTTAGAAGGGGCTGCTTGGGTATTTGTTCCACTTATAAAGTGAAGTAGTAAGCCACCTCCTTCTTGTGGTTAATGCCTTTTTCCCCCCTTTTTTTTTTTCTTCTTTTTCCCCAAAGGAGCAGTGTTAGGAAAACTCTCTCCTTGTCTCTGCCACCTCATGCCCTGGTCCGGGTCCTTCTGAATACCCCTAAACCAGAGAATCATCAGTTGAGGTTTTGTGTGTGATAGAGCTCAAGGGATGAGGACTGGAAGGGAAATAGAGCTGTTCTTGGTTTTCCTTTCCCCTGGATCTCTGTGAGCCTCCCTGGGGAGGACAGCAGCATTTCCCTAGTCCCAGAAGGGGGTTAGTTTTGCAGAACAAGCTGCTGTATCTGTAACACAAATGCACTTGGTTCTCCATCAGTTGATGCGAATAGATTCAGCTGAGTGTGAGGGAGAGCTTGGGAAGCCTGAGAGGGAGCAGGGCTGCTGGTTTCCAGGGGGTTTGTCTCCCTCAGGCGGTACCTGCTTGAGTGGTCTGTTGGAGATTAGGAGCTTGATTTATTGGGAATTAAGATGGAAGACTTTGCTCCAACTGGGCTCTTTAATAGCAGTTTTAGGGCAGCTTCCCACTTCTGCAGGATGTGGTTAACCACTGCTGGGTTAGCAGTGCCCGTGGCAGGTTTGTCCCCTTCTTTTCTGGGTCTCTGGCAAAGCTTGTGCATGTGGTTGAACTGCATTTCTGGCTTCAAGAGCTCTGCTGGGAGGAAACAGTGACTCTTCCTGAGGATGGAGCATCACCCACCGGCACCATGCCCAGCTCCTGGTGAAGGATTCTGGTGCTGCTCCAGCTCTTCTGGATGCTGTCAGGGACTCGCAGTGATGCTGCCACATCCACACTGGGATGATGACTTTAATGTCACCTCCTTTCTCCTTCCCCCAGGACCTGCAGTCTTACTCCTGGCTGAGCCAAACCCAGCAAACACTGAATTACTGCATCTACATGGCTGTGGCTACTCTAATTAGCTTTATCTAATCAGGAGGGTGATAATTGCATTCCAAAGTTATATGTGTACCTGAAGAAGGAGGTAACTAGACATAAAGCAGGCTTGAGACTCCTACTGAGCAAGAGTATGTGGACAGGCTTATTTTATATATATATGCGCATACATATATATATGGACAGGTTTTATTACATCCAGTTGTGTCTTTGAATCAATTTAATTACTTGGATCCCTTCAGGGTGATCAGATAAGCTCTGAGCTGTTTCAGGAGGTGAATGTGGTGCAAATGCAGAAGCAGCAAGGGGATATTACGTGGTGTTTGGTGTCAGGGATCCATGGACATCCCTTGGGTAACAGCGCCTTATTTGTGAGCTGCTGGTGTATAACCGAGCCGCAAGCAGTGGGAGCTTTAAAGGGATGAAGTGAACCAGAGTTATGGACATGGGGCCCAAAGAGAAAAGGGCTTTTATAAGATGCTTTCAATACTTTGATACCTCTTAAGAGGAGGGGGTTTTGCCCTACAATAAAGCTTTACAGCAGAAACAGTTTCTTTATTAAGTTCTGCAGGTTTATTACTATTTTTTAAACCCCAGAGAGGATTTAGTTTCTATTTTTAAGCCTGTGGCATATCCTACGAACATTATCATAACAGCTATAAAGAATATTGGGGTTTGTTGCTTTTCCAGCCTTGTTTGACTTGGTTTTGACATCCCATTGAGCACAGATCATCGCATATACCTCATCTGGAGTTTCAGTTTAGGTTCCGATGGGCTAAGGGCTGCATGGGTGTCTTCTCCTTTCCAGTAACTTTTGAACTTGGCCCATTTCAGCCAGATTTGATAGATGGAGAAAGACTGTGCAGATACAGTTTAGTGTGAACTCTTTGATAGAAGGGGCAGCTTAAGGGAAAAAGCTTTGTGATGTCCAAGATGAGTCCTAAGCTCATGCTGCCTAAGCCTTTGCCATATTAGATACTCCTCTGGCTCTTTGTGTTGGCAGTGATGGGCTGGAGTAACACGAGGTGTGTAGTGGTCTGGGATGAACCAGCAGCATTGGTGAGTGAAAAACACAGTGTGATTCCTTTATATAGACATCCCAGAATAATTGATAACTGTAGATTGATTACAAGGTTCTACTGATCCTTTAGAGATGCAGTGGTCTCTAAGGAAAAATTGGTGGTAAAAATGCTGTAAAATGAGCAGTTCAGGAGAGAAAATGACAGTTTTCTAGACAAGGTCCTGAGCAATTGATCTGCCTTTGGTTCACTCTGCCTGGTGGTGGTGTTGTGTCTGCAATGCCCTGCTCGGTGACCTGCTGGTTGCTTCCCATCACCAGCTTTCCCAAAGAGAAGACAGCAGCCTTTAGATGGGATTGACGAGGACAACCCGGATGACACCTTCACCCTGTGCCAAAAGACCACCAGACCCATCCCTAAACCAAAGCCCTAAAGCTTGAGCTCAGCTTTGCACGAGCTGGAGCAGAGGAGAAGCAGATGTGCAGCCCCTGCAATGATGGAAATGTGTTTGTTGTTGGGCAGGGCCAGGCGCTGGGGCCGGGATCCCCTGGGATTTATCCCGAGCCGTGCCTTCTGAGGCAGGCAGCGCCAGCAGCACATGGACTTGATGTGCTGTCAGAGCGTCAGCATGTCGGGGGGCATTTGTCCTTGTAAAGCCAGGAGGGAAGCAGAGGGATTGGCTGTGCAGAGGGCTGGTGCAGCGGGGCTTTCGGCTGCTTACGTTAGCAGGGCTGGAGGGGAAAAGAGCAAATGAGGAGCAGATGGAAGAGCCAAGCTTTGCAGCTGACCTTTCAGTGCAGGAGGACCTTCATGTTATGTGGCTGTTAAATGGATGGGAGAAGCAAAGGTTGGGTGGTGCTTGTAGCAGCCTTGCCCCTGTCCCTTCCTCTGCCCCATGTGGGGATGGTTTGTCCTTGCCTTCCAGCTCCTCAGCTGTCCTACATCGTATTTCTTCTCTTTCCCATTGAGATGCTGCATTTGCAGTTCACCAGAACCCATTCTCTTCCTTCTTCCCATCTACTTGGAGAGGCCTTTTGAAGCCAAAGTCTCTGTTTCTTGAGAGTTTCATCTGTCTCTGCTGCTCATCCTTCCCTAAAACTCTGCTGCTCCACTACGTGACATCCTGGATGCTAGGGCTGTCACTTCAAGTGGGAGGAAACCTAAGGAATGAAGTTGATTCATGAGAGGAATTACTTCATGTGCATGTCTTCATTAATAAAAAGCAGATCAGGGAAGAGGCTTTGCAGGCAAAAGAAGTATGATATGAAACAGAGTTGTTTCCTATTTTATACATTTTCCTTTGACTATTAGCATCTATTTTTAGCTGAGCAGAGTGGTGTTCATTTTGTTCCTCTGGTGTATAATGTTTGCCTTCTGAATTCTGCAAATCACTCGTGTGTTGCCTGAAGGAGCCCAGGCACGGTCCTGGCAGTCACCTGCAGTGATGGGAACCTTTAGGGAAGGTGGGGAGATAAGGCTCTAAGTTCTGCCTGCTTAGAAGTAATGCGGCTTGTTACCCAAGACATTTAGTGAGTAATAGCATCCTTTTCTAATGATAGGTAGCTACACCAATTTAATCAATTGATGGAATTATGGTCAAGGAGAGGCACAACACAGGTTTTGCTTCATGCTGGCATGCCTTTGGGGGAATAATTGCTCAGTCAGAATTGAAATACTCTTGTGCAGCCTGTTCTTATGTTATGGAGTCCATCTCATGCTAAGGAGCTGTTAGATTGAAGCACCTCAGCATCTTCAGAACCTTTATTCTGGCAGCCCTGCACAGTGAGCTTCTATCTTCCTTTGGCTGCAGTGTTGTAAATCCAGAGTTATCCACTGCAATACATATAGCTGGAAATGGACTTGTAAGGATCATCAACTCTGCTTTTAATTAGTTTTCAAGATGTAAAGTGAAGCCAAATGTCTCTGAGCTGGTGTCTGGAGGTGGGATGGAGGACCTCTTGCAGAAGGGAAGTTGGTTCCTTGACTCACAGTCCTGTGCTGTAACACAGTCATGCTGCAACAGTGACTTTGGTTGCAGCTCCAGAGCTTGGCCATAACTAACAGAGTTTGGGGTTTTCTCCGCTCTGCAGTTCAGAACCTCAGTGAGTGCAGGTAACTTAGCAAGGGAAAGCCTGTGCAAGCTTTTTGTGTGTGACCCATAAATGTATTATGAATGCAGTCAGGCCGATGTATGGGAAATA